GGCCATCTAAGGGAGCCACTGTGGATCTAGCTATTTATAATTTGTTGGGTGATAAGCAAGGCGAAAATCCCATCAAAAGTAAGGATTAATGAAGAATATAATATTCACGAGTATGATAAAGGTCCGACTAACGGATGTCAAACAGCACTAGATTATGGACTACCCGTAGTAAGGCTCTGGTTGGCTCACTCTCGTCTAGTATCTTTAGTTGTATTATGAGCAAATGATCGTACTTTCTTGGTATCAAGATAGAGTTTCAGTATACCCGTAGACCCAACGTGTCCCCAGCGCAGTGGAATGCGATCCAGCTATGAGGGCAACATGGAGGACGATAGTTCCTATTCTTGATTCCCAGTCAGTCTACGGTGAAAAACGCTATTGCCGGCAAAATCAATGAAGTGCCCTCTCAAAAGAGGTCGACTGAGGAGCTTGTTGAGTAATACTTGTATATAGTTGGTGACCAGTCCTATTCTCACCTAAAGTATCGATGTTGCGTCTGGGTTCGTGTCTGATGGGATCAATATGGAGAGGAACTGTTCCCATACTTGATCCTGTGGGGGCTGTCCGTCAAGATGGGCATAGTCCACCCCTTGTACCAAATATGGGCCGTCATATGAGGGATACGATGACGTAACATTGGCGTTGTTGCCTTGGTGATTATTCATGGCAGACATCTGATTGTCGTAGAAAAAGCTCGACGACCAGTCTGGGGGATTCGGCGACGGACCAGCATAATTAGGCCGATTGGTGTGGGATTCGAATCCAGAGCTATTGCTTTGCAATGGTTCATTAAGTAGATGCGATCCAAATGGTTCTGTATATCCTGTCGCTGTAGGCGCAACGGATGATGGTATGGTCGAATCTACGGTGAAGCTAGGCGCTGAAGCTTGGATTGAATCCGTTGATGGAGTATCGCTATTCCGGTCCGACTGACTCTCAAACTGCTTTATGTACTCGAACAGTGAAGGGTGCGCATCTGATGGTAGGAGAATTCTCCTGTGACTACCCGGAACATGTGTAGTCCTCTCAGTGTTTTCGCCAGTAAGAGCAAAGTCAGACCTTCCAATGAGCTTCATAACATCCGTAGCGAGCTCATCCCTAGCTCCAGTTGATGGCCAATTCCCTTCTCGATATCGATCCATGGCGTGATGAGCTTGCTCAAAAAGCGTGATTATGGTGGGCTTTTTATATCGTTGGTTAATATAAAGGCTCCTCAAGGCATCATAAAAGAACTAACCTGTGCATGCGAGATACAGTATGCCGTCATCTGGGCGAAATAATCCTTAACCTTGTCTATTTCCGCAAGGCTCGATTGGGCCAGGACGCAGCCTGGACTCTTGATCACAATGGCACATAAGCAAACCTAAAATCCCGTCAATGACAATCTCAGATAGCAACGTGAACTGTACATATGCAGACCTAGGTTTAAATCAGTTTCGATACTTCTGAATTGACTCAACCCACAAGGCATGAGCCCACATGAAGGTGAGCCTTGGTAGTACACCTTTGACTATCTCGTCCATTTGTCGAATCCCTTGAAGAAGTAGAACAGCACTACGATGCACTGACAACACGCTCAACGCATACTTGCTGCGCAGCGGTTCTTGGGATCGCCTGACCAGGGCTTCCAGGAAGTATCGTCGGTGAAGATACATGAAAGCTGCGGATGATTAGCATGTTTCATCAATAATAGTTCTTCTATTACCAATTTCCTGAAGCCCTGAGGTCGATAGCGACCGTATGATGCGACGTATGTATCCATTCGTTCATCTTGCCGTTTTGGACTGCAGAAATCTCTCCAGAAGGAGGAATTCCCAGATCCCAGTCACGAAAAGCCTTGTCCAGGCTTTATTTCTCAGATAATATAAGAGAATATGTGCTTTGAGGAACTTACTCGAGGATTTTGCTATGAGGGGGTTTGACGGAGAAAGCACCGTCCAGGATACCTCCTAGGCAGTCTCCAATCCACCGATACCGGATGCGATTATCTGTTGCCCGTTAGTGCACATATAAAGATACTATATATAGAGAGTCTCACATGATGGAGGCTTTCCTTCATCTTCAACGTCTTTTGGCATTTTTGTATCATATTGGCTGAGACAGATGAGACAGATGCTCAAGAATGGAGATAGAAATAACTGACGCTGGTATTATCGACCTAGGACGTCCCATAGCAAATCCCAAAGCAGCCTCAAAAGCAATCAAGTCCCACCAAGTTCTCCTTCGGCGCTCTGCTTCTTCTGGATACTTGTTCCATTGTTCATTGTCTCTGTCTTCACATAATCACGTCAATTGTAGGAAAATATATCTTGTATAATAAGGCTTACGAAGTCCGGCCTTCAATAATTTGGGGTCAATTTCAGTCGTAGAGCTAGTTTGAAACCCACCATTTGGGCCAGTCTAATCGCCAAACCCATAGCACCCCATGCTCTATTTGTTCCATTTGGATCGTTCGTCATCCCATTATAGGTAGCGAGCAGTTGCTGTAAACGTATATCAGATGAGGGCGAAGAAATGAAAAGTAAACATACTAGGTATTGGATTGCGTACAGGGACCTCGATTGGAAGATGTCCTAAAAGCGAATAAGGTCGATGAATACTGATTGATATGATATTATTCACCTCACTCAATGATATGGAAGCTCGTGATAGATGATAATAACGGCGAGCATCAGGGTGATACATCGACCTTTTGAGGTCGGCAAGAATAGCAAGAGCCAGAGTAATGAAAAATATCGCGATTTGTTGGTCATTTGCTGCACCCTCTGCTGGTGGAGTCCTTAAAGAGCGCAACGAAAGGCCTACAACCGGAAAATGAAGTACCAACGAGTATTGCATCAGAAGAAGAGGAACTTATTGATACCTTTGGATCACTGACAATAGATCCGAAGGGAGAAACCACCTGGTATGGATGATAGCTACGATGTACTTGCTTTGTGTTAATGCTTCGATGCATAGGTATGGCCCGCATGCTGGATCCGAGTACCTGATACCAGTAAGGATTCAGGCCGTTGAGTCGGCCATAATCCACTAACTTCTCAATCTCGTTTCGACTAGAGAACGAACGAATATCCGCCCACGGACACCGATTCAGATCTTCCTTTTGATATACTACTCTTGAGTAGACAATTTCCTTTCAAGAATGTGCATGAGACAGAAGAAGTGGCGCGCAAAATTATCAGAGATAGGATACCTCCACGGAATATCGCCTTCGAGATTACATATAGTCTTCATTCACGACTTGCCTGGGCGTAAGTCTGCATCTCTAACCCGTTTTTACTCGTGGTATTGATTTATTCAAGTACGACTTCCATGGCATGGGATGATTTCCGTCGTGTAATTTTTGAGCCAATATATTCGACAGA